GTGATTAAGTGATGTTTTAAGTATAGCGGCATTCTGTGGGATTTTCCCTATGATATAAGAGACATGGCTGTCCCTCATAATATCCTTGTCTAACATGCACATCAATGCAATTGCATACCTGTTATGAACAGTTGGTGCACTCGTTATCCAACTCTAGAAAAAAGAATATCCATAAAAGAGGGAACATGTCAAAACTCCTGTTGTGATTGATTTCAATTGTCTGAGACCTATCACAATATTTTATCACAGGTAAAGATGCAATGAAACAAGAGTGATGGGTTAAAGTCACTAGTCCTAAATTTGGTACCCAAACAGATTTTTAGAAAAATGAAACAAGATGAGAAATCAGTAAAGAAGAAAAAGAAGAGATAATTTAAAGACACACATTTTTCATTTCTTCAGTTTTCTTCTCAATATTATTTCACTTTACAAAGAGCAATTAGCTTGACATTATCACAGTAGGGATCAGAAAAAGAAATGATTTTTCCTTGACTTTTCCCCTTTAATTTTTTTTTCAGAACTTTTTCATTTTCTTCCTCATCTACACAACTTAATTTTTTTTTGCCATTTCTTATGTCAACAAAGAATAAATAGGTCAAAAGTTTGCCATAAAGCTTTGGGACCTAATAGTTGATTAGAAAGCTGCAGCAGCAGGATAAGCATTATCGTCATGGATTCGTAGCAGTTTAAGTATATTAAGAGGCCTAAATCTGATAGGTTAATAGACATCAATATGCTTATCAAGTAAATACCAATTATCAAGCTTAAGAATAATTGAGATCTATTATCTCGTACAGTAGAGAAGGATGAGTTCTCAAAGTTCAATCACAATCGAGATATGTTATCTCGTAGAGTAGACAAGCATGAGCTTTCATAGTTCTAGAAGTAAAGCCTTCCCAGGTGGCAAGTCAAATTTTGATGAACATAAAGATTAGGAGAATCAAAAGATGAAATTTATGAAAAATTAGAAAAGTTTAGAAGGTAGTGGAAACTGGAGGTTCATTTACAAGTTTTGTCAACTAAAACAAAATGGGAGTCACACTCGTTCAGTCATTTGCTCCACGTAAAAGAAATGTTATTTGATTAATGAAGATATTGACAGCAGATGGAGAGGAATATAGAAAGAGATCACAAGGTTGTGTTGGTTTCTAAAGATTCCTCTGCTTATTAGTGAGCCGAAAAAGCAGTTCGCTAAAGCATAATCAATTATTACAAATTTACAATGTGAAAGTATAAATGAAGTTGGGTCATTTCATGGCAAGTTCTATTTACTACAATGGAATGGCATTATCCACAATCGAGAATTAAATATTTAGTCAAATGATACATGTTCGCGAGCAACTAGATAAACCTTACCTGTGTATTTGAACTTCTTTAATGGTAGACGAGAAGAATAATATCAATCAAACATTGAAATTGGTGAAGGTCACTTGGTTGTGTTGTTGGACTTATATTATGAGCAATGGTTGGACTGATAATAGCCAAGGCCTTAATAAATGTTTTAGCATCATCATAGTCCAGTGGTCCTATTTTCTTAAAGTCAATGTACTATTCTAGATAAGACCAAATTGGTCCGTTTCCTTAAAGGAGATCAAATTGTTTCGTATAGTTCATATACTTGAAGATGCCAAGATGCTTCAATTTTCATATCAGCTCATTCTCAAGCTTGATGCATCTTTTGGAAGTATTTCAGTGGGGCTTTTGAATATGGCTATGCTCTCTGACAGATAGTAAGTCCTCCTCAAGCAAAGAACTATCATGATCTTGTCGAGTGGGAAAAAAAGAATGAAGAATAAGCTTTTGCGATTGATGAAAACTAGATAAATGAAGAATAACCTTTTGAAATTGATGAAAACTAGACAAATGAGGACTAAGCTTTTGAACTTGATGAAAACTAGACATTCTTAAGATATCAAGATAATGATAAGGCTAATTTGGTTAAGCATTTGGTGATTAATGATATATGATAGGATCAAGTGGAATATATTATTTGCTTACACTTGGAAGAACTTTATGAAAGTGCTTTGGTTATTCATAGTCAAACCATCACTCACGTGATTTTTCTTCTTCTTATCAGATATACCCAATCAATATTGAAAATAACAATAATGCATAATGTAACTATGCTCTACCTTTTCTATTACGGGTTAAGAGGAAAAACACAAAACATAACACATAGCCTAAGTTGTTTTTTCGTTTATTATTTAGATATTTCATAAATACAAACTATTCATAATGAATTTAATGATTAAAATCATCAAAAAATTTCAAACATCAAGGAGAATTGGAAGAGTTAGGATTTAGAAGGCTCATCTTCATCAAAAGGAGTTAGGATTTAGAAGCTAGAGAGGCGTTGGAGGTGGAGACAGGGTTTGGTTTTTTCCATCAGCAAGAAGAGATATGAGAGCTGAGAAGTAACAAAAGAGGAGTATTGTCGTCAACGGAAATAGAGGACGAGAAGAGCCTTGTCATTGGCAAGAGGCTTCGTC